CTCCGTGGTCGGGACCCCGTGGTCGGGACACTGCACATGTTAAAAGTTTATTGCAACTAAATGTTCACTTTATGAAAATACATTATATTTGGACAAACTGGCCCCATCTGGATTCTTTATGTGGAAACATGAATGTGGCTGTTTGAAAGGTCTTAGTCGGGTTTGGAGGGTCTTAGGACAGACCTGACTCTCCCCGACGCAGACCTGACTCTCCCCAGTTCACGCACAAAGTACTTAATAATAATTGTGAGTATTAAAATTCAGTTTTCTGTGACTAAACACATTTAGTTTCATTCCTGTTGTGCAGCATCTACACTGTGTTCTCCAGGCTTGTATAGATACGTGTGTGTGTGTGTGTGTGTGTGTGTGTGTGTGTGTGTATGTATGTATGTATATGTATATATATATAGAGTACACATACACACGTGTATATATAGAGTACACATACACACGTGTATATATAGAGTACACATACACACGTGTATATATAGAGTACACATACACACGTGTATATATAGAGTACACATACACACGTGTATATATAGAGTACACATACACACGTGTATATATAGAGTACACATACACACGTGTATATATAGAGTACACATACACACGTGTATATATAGAGTACACATACACACGTGTATATATAGAGTACACATACACACGTGTATATATAGAACATATACACACGTGTATATAGAGTACATATACACACAGTATATAGAGTACATATACACACAGTATATAGAGTACATATACACACAGTATATAGAGTACATATACACACAGTATATAGAGTACATATACACACAGTATATAGAGTACATATACACACGTGTATATAGAGTACATATACACACGTGTATATAGAGTACATATACACACAGTATATAGAGTACATATACACACGTGTATATAGAGTACATATACACACAGTATATAGAGTACATATGCACACAGTATATAGAGTACATATGCACACAGTATATAGAGTACATATGCACACAGTATATAGAGTACATATACACACGTGTATATAGAGTACATATACACACAGTATATAGAGTACATATACACACAGTATATAGAGTACATATACACACAGTATATAGAGTACATATACACACGTGTATAGAGTACATATACACACGTGTATATAGAGTACATATACACACGTGTATATAGAGTACATATACACACAGTATATAGAGTACATATACACACGTGTATATAGAGTACATATACACACAGTATATAGAGTACATATGCACACAGTATATAGAGTACATATGCACACAGTATATAGAGTACATATACACACAGTATATAGAGTACATATACACACAGTATATAGAGTACATATGCACACAGTATATAGAGTACATACACACAGTATATAGAGTACATACACACAGTATATAGAGTACATATATAGAGTACATACACACAGTATATAGAGTACATATACACACAGTATATAGAGTACATATACACACAGTATATAGAGTACATATGCACACAGTATATAGAGTACATATGCACACAGTATATAGAGTACATATGCACACAGTATATAGAGTACATATGCACACAGTATATAGAGTACATATACACACAGTATATAGAGTACATATACACACAGTATATAGAGTACATATGCACACAGTATATAGAGTACATATACACACATACACCAGTAGAGTCTGTGGGGCTGAACCTTCGATTGTATAAAGAACATCACAGTTTGTTTATTTTTTACTTTTTATTTTATTGTTTCACAGTTTGTAATAGACTCAGAAACTGTTTAAAAATGTTTTAATTTTATTTTATACTTTTTATTTTATTGTCTTATAGTGTCACAGACCACGTGACAGTCACCTGAATGTCACGTGTCTTCGCGGTCACGTGATTCTCGTGTCAGCTGATTCTTGGACCGTGGCATCCGGACTGAACCAGGACTGAATCAGGACTAAACCGGGTCTAAACCAGGACTAAACCGGGTCTAAACCAGGACTAAACCGGGTCTAAACCAGGACCGAACCGGGACTGAACGATGCCGCTGCCGGAGCTTTACTTTAACGCGGATAACGGGTACCTGGAGGGGCTCGTGCGCGGATTTAAGGCCGGGATCCTGAGTCAAGCGGATTATCTGAACCTGGTCCAGTGCGAGACTCTGGAGGGTGAGACAAGAGACACAATGAGACGAGACACAATGAGACAACACACAATGAGACAACACACAGGACACACAAGACACACAGGACACAATGAGACACAATGAGACAACACACAGGACACTATGAGACAGGAGACACATTAAACCGTTTAATATAAGATATAAAATCGTGTACGCGTCATGAGCGGACCTCGGCTCGTCTTTTCTGTGTTCGGGACACACGGTTCTGTTCGGTTCGGTTCGGTTCTGTTCGGTTTTGTTCGGAGCCGTGAAGCCTAAAGCTAACGCGGCTAATGCTAACAGCTGTAATAAACCGTAACT